GGTAGTTAAGCACTGGAATAGTGCTTAACTTAAAGGTTACTTAGAAATTGTGGAATCATCGTCCTTGGATATTAAACAAATACTTCACTGGTGTGATTTAAACACGGATGATCCTGCCATGAGCAAGGGACTGCACTAAATTACCTCTTGAGATTCCTTCCAGCCCTGTTTTTCTATGATTTTGTAAAAGACAAAATGATCAATCCAATATATACCGTCTCTAACCAACAAAGTATTTCTAGAGAGCCATACAAAACATACAAATACTTTATATTGTTACAGTTCCATTGTAAGTGCTCTATATTATTTTATTCCCAAATTTGAAAACAGCTACTGGATATCTGTCATCCTAGTTTTAGTGTTACCAATTTGGATTGTAAAAACTAACACGTCTGTGCATAGTCTTATGCTTACTTCATGTTTGTCATATCATTCTTCAGTATATTAATAAATTTACCAAAACACAATTAAGTTACAATAACCATTACAGATCCTACCTTTAGTAATCTGCATGATGGGAATTCTGGTAAGAAATGCAGTTTATTTTTTCTTAAGTAAAGCTGTTCTAAAGATGCCATGCTGGCCAATTCGGGAGGTATGGTCTCTAAGAAGTTTTTAGTGCAATCCAGTTGTTTTAAGCCTGTAAGAGTGAATTCAGGAATGAAAAAGAAAAATATATAAAAATCCTAAAGAGTTACCTTTACTAGAAAAGATGACAAAAACATACTTTTCTAAAATAAATATACTGTTATAAAATCAGCTGTCAGAATTTCAGAAGAAACTATTCCAAGCATCTTCAGATTTTACAAAAGCTAGGTATCTGACTATTCAGAAATAGCCTTTAACTTTTTATGGAGTTCAGTATTAAGTAGTCATGTACAAATCTTGTTTTAGAGCTAGGATATAGAGGCTCTCTGGTCCTTTATTACAGACCATGGCTAGTCTACACAGACATTTTTTATTATTTTGTCAGTTTAGAAACTGACAATCTACTGTCATCTGCTCCTCATTATGCCTCAAAAGAGAGACAGTTAGTCATATTAGTCTAAAGTCAGGAATAAGGCAGGACAGAGTGGCATGCTAGAGACTAACTGGTTCAGGGATGCATAAGTTTTTGTAGGTGACAGCCTACTTTGCTAGATGCTAGATGTAGATTTATCGCATGAAGTAGGCTGTCACTTTCTAAAGTTCATACCTCTCTGAATAATTTAGTTTCTAATGTGCCACTCTGCTCTCCTTATACCTGTACAGTAACTGGAGTCCATATTTACTTAAACAAAGTATTAAGCCTGATGATTTAAGTTGATTCAAAACTTGCTTATTCCCCCTCTAATTTCACTGTCTCCTCTCTTCTGCCCTTGCTTTCCTATGCAAGTGCTGTAAGGAAAACAGTTAGTTAGTTGGCAGGTTATTTATTACAAAGTTTTGTCAAAGCCATTAGGCTCTATGCAGAATGGAGTTAAGCCATTCTGATTCTCTTCTTGCCCCGTCCATCAAGAACTGCTGCTGTCAGAACTTTCAATTTGATACCTATGGCTGTGTCCATGCAAGTGTAAATGTTTGTTTCCCTGGGGACACCCATGCCACACGCCCTCTGGTGCATGCCAGATTACTGAGGGTGGGGTAGGAGAGGCTGGAGCCAGCAACTGTGCTGGCCCCAGCAGCCTTACCTGGGGGTCTAGGGGCCTCCAGGAGCTGAAGCGTGGTGCTCCTGCAGTTGGGAGCTTGACTGGCAGCCAAAGCATGGCTCTAAGTGTACAGGCTCCAGTTCTGGGTAGTGTGCGCTGCCCCATGCACTGTTCTCCTTTTTTTTGGGAAGGTGTTTATTGGCACATGCACTGCCCTATTTTTTTTTTTTTGGATCTCCCAAGGTCAAAAAACCCCCCACACTGCAAAGTAGCAGCATGGGGAATGACTGCATGTTTGGTGTGTGGTGCCACAGACAGGTCTGCAGCACCACATACCCCACATCTGCACTTGTCTGGAGGCAGCCTGTGTGTCTGTGGGCTACAACTTAATTCATCAGCCCACCACACTGAATATGAAATGCTTCCATACCATATACTTGGTAAAATATATGATTTATTCAGCTACAATAAAAATAAGCAACTTCTTTCAAGGTATAAGACTACAGCTCCACATTTGTGGCATTCTAAAATGCTCTGGGAAACAGGATTACTTTTCATTGAGCTGATTTCTGCTGGCAGACTCCTTAGCTGATTCTGGGCCACGTTGAGTCGTATCAAGTTAGTTAGGGAAGCAAAACTGGTTGGAATGGTTGCAAGATGGTTGTTGGAAAGATTCTGGGAAGGAAAACAAAAACAAAAACAAAAGCAAGAGAGGGAGTAAGAAATTGTAGACAAGCTATTCTGAAGTAAGTTTAACTACAGCCCAAGTGTGTAACTACTGACAGAGAATCTCAGATTTATTTAGGTAACATGTTTGTCCCCCTTAGTGTTGTTCTCAGATGACTCAATTTTTTACAAAAGATTTCCTCTTTCTCTTTTCTAGCTTGTGTTCCTGAGGCCTGGTTCCCCTTTAGTCTTCATCAGTACCATTCCCTACTCATCAGCAATGGTTGCCAATAAGCAGAGGAGGGACAGTCCCCACATTTTACTGAATGAGGCCTACTCTATACTACCAAGTTTTGTCTTCTGTATTCCAGTTCTGCATGAAAACCTTGTCCACACTCAAAGCTCCTCTGCAGCCTGAGGACCCTCCTTTTCTGCCAGAGTCAATTCATGTCTGCAAGCAGCCAGCTTTCTGCTGGGTCCCTTCAGCAGTTGATCAGTAGAAATCAAACTGGTGTCCAGAGTAGCCAGCACAAGGCAGGGTGAAATTGCTGCTGGAGAACAGATAAGGCAGCCCTGGGCACAGGCGTGTCTACATACATATACTGCAAGCAGTCACAGAGCTGCAGAGGGTTTATGTCAGAGAGAGAGAGCTGGCGTAACACTGCCAGAAGAAACAAAGGGCCCTGCATGTGACTGTATGTGTGGATGAAGGCAAACTTCTGCCAGAAGAGCTTTACAGCATAGATCAGGTAAGAAGAGCATTAGTCCCTTTGACTTTCTACAGACTTTCTGAATTTGGCAAACTAAAAACAAAACTCAGTTTCCAAACAGACACACTGAATCCAACAGTTTAAAAAATTATTGGTGTATTTCTAAAAAGCTACAAAATTGGTCTAGGTGGCAGTTCTATCAAAGGCAAGCCAACAGAAAAGTGGAGATAATAGCTAAACCTCTACCTGGTTCCATGGAAAGACCTAGAAAACAGCTACAACTTACTAGCTCTTCCAAACTGACAAGCTGTCCAAATCCATCAGGTAGATGACTTAACTCATTGTGTTGTACAAGAAGGCTCTTCAAGTGCCTCAACTGTGTCAATTCGTCTGGTATATTTTTCAGCTTGTTATGGCTAGTAATAAGAAAATAATATATTAGTAAGAAGCTGTTCTAAAAAGCCAACTTTAAAAAAATATTTTGTTATTACATAGCAATGTACAAGACAATTTTAGTGTCTAAAGTACTTTCACCCGAAATTTAAGTGGCTCTTTAACATCTAAGCTTCAGTCTCCTCTTTCTGTACATTTACTTATATGCAATAATACTTTAAACCAGTGTCTGCAGTTAGACACAACCTGGCTGAAAATCAGAGACTATTTTATTTTACAAGGTATTTTTTTTTAAAGGAAGCTGTATTTTAATTTTTCCAGTCCACAAATTTGATAGCTCTGGTAAGCACAAGAATACAAATTTCTCAACATATATAAACTAAAAAAAAATATTTTCAAAACATTACTTCTGCCAAAAATCACTTTTAATTCTTTAAACTGAAACTACTAGCTTGAAGAAAGTGCGTACAGAAGTTCCCTTGCAGAATAGGTGAAAATCTAAAAACTACCATAACGCTAAGAAAAGTCCCCTCCCAGTCCTATCAAAACCAAAATACTTATGTCTTCATTGTTTCAAGCTGATTTATTAAAAAAACATTCCTGTAGGGTAACATGCTTGAATTTTCGAAACAATGAAGAACTGGATACTCTAGTCTTACTGACTTTTAATGGAAGTTTAAGGAAGATAAGCACCTAACTGTCTCTGCATTCTTGCAAAAGACCACCCTTAGTGCTTTAATTGAGTCTTCAACATACATAGTGTACTGCACACTCACTAGGAAATCAAATGGAAATTTTAAAACTGTCCACTATATTTAAATACACAAACAAGCTTTGAGCAGCAATTTCCCACTCACCATGTGTAGTTAGAAACAAATCCTAAAAAGCATCATCAATTTGTCTTTAATGCTGTCTCCTAAATTCAGCCTACGAGTTTAACATACCACATTCAAAAAGAAAAAAAATCCTCTTTCTCCAATTTGCAAATGGGGTGTAATTAGGTTTTTCACAGCCAGTCTATCATAAAAAGGGCCTCTGAGCAGAGTCTGAGCTCTCATAATTTTGCAAATCTGTTTTAGTAAACCCAACTAAGTGTGCTTGTAACACCATCTCTCTAATCAGTCTTATTCCATCAGAAGTCAGCAGGGTACATCACCTTCTAAAGGAGGTCACTAGCTTTAGAAATGTATCAATCAAAAAACTGTCATGAAAACAAACCTGAGAGATCCAGAGGGTTTGGGCTGAAATAAACCTATGAAAGTAATGATCCATGTCACTGGGATGAAAGTAATGCAAATTAGCAGGAAGAGCAAGATGCAGGAGACTAATTAATACAAATATTATATGATTACAATAGTACAAGTTCCAAAGTTTCAGACGTGCAAAGAGCCTTGCAGGAAGCCCCCTGTTGCTCTGTAATGTTCCTCCACATGACCCAAGGAGTTTTCCTGCACTGTGCTCTTCACACTATCAAAAATCAAAATGGGAATTTTCAATTTATAAGTTTTACATTAAAAATATCAAGTTAAAAGAGCAGCAAATTACACAGAACAAACCTAGTGTAAACATTTCCTGCATACAATCTTCAAAGAATTTTTCCTTGATTCACTCCACAAACTTACTGGACTATTTAACGTATTCATATTTAGTAAAAATGTGTTTACCTAACATCAAGTTTCTGCAGATTTTCCAAAATTCCTATAGCAGAAGGAAGAGCTGTCAGTTGATTATCATGTATCTAGAAAAAGAAATTATTTAAAAATATAATTGCTTGTCAGTACCTTGTAGGGTTTTTTCCTACCCAAGAAACAAGTTATACTACATCCATATAAATATAATTTTCAGCTCGGACCTGCAGAGCCTCTTGCCAGGGTCAGTTTCACTACCAACAGGAATGCTGCAGAATTACCACTCTTAAACCTTTACTCAGTTGATAGTAAGAGCAGTGAGTAGCAGATGTGAAAGTTGATCAAAGACATACAAGTGGGAAGAAGAGAGATACGAAAAAACAGCTTCCTCCCTGTGAAGGATAGGAGTCACAGATAAGCACGTAAATGTGGAAGTCCTCAAAAATGTAGCTGGAGAAAAACTGACTAGCCAAGAAGAAGAACCTCACATTTGTTAGCCCAACAGCGTAATGGTTATGGCACTTATTCAGGGAGTGAGAGGCCCAGGTCCTAGGCTCCTCTCACAAAAAGAAAATTTGAACTACATCTCTGAACTAACCACCAAGCCATGGGCTAGGTATGACCCAGAGCATGCTTCTTTGAAGCTAGCCCAGTGGCTAACCAAGAACTGAATACTGTATATGTAGGGGCAGGGGGAAAGCAAGCCACTGGGAGTGAGATTCAGTGAGACAGACTGCTCTGGAATGGAGGGGACTCACTGATCTAGAAGGACAGGCATAACTGTGAAGATAGAAATAGGACTGAAAATCTGCAGAACTGCCAGAAATGCTATTTATGTGGCTACACTTGGACGTGTATGTGGCACGTTAGATGAAGCAGGATCAGGCCCTTAACTCTGTGGTCTTAATCTTAAAATTAAGAAAAATCAAATACTTTAACAACAGATCCAAAACTGTACAATTATTCTTAAATGTGCTCCCTTACCTTCACTTTTAAGTACCATTGCCTAATTTCAGAAAAATGAATAAAGTACATACTGATTTAATGCATTTTTATGTGTAGTTTGTTTTAACAAGTGTCTTTATACAAACCTTCTTCTGTATCTTGTATTTTAATTTGATTTTTTATCCTATTTACCCTTGAACTTCTGAAGGAAAAACATTTGAGAGTGTTTAATAGATAGGATTTACATTTTTTTAAAGTTCTTTGGGTTGAAAAAACAATTCATAGTAAAATAGACTTTGTAACAATTGGAACAGCCACATAAAAAAAACCACAACACAAACCTATTTCTAACAATAACTTCATATTTCCTTTAAACAATTTTTAGATACTTGAGGTAATGATACCCTTTTGGTAATACTTCATACAAAAAACTTCTTGCTGACCCTGACAGAAAGACACCTGGCAACCAGATCTAGCTCTCAAACTTTTCAGGAACCGAGAGAGAAAAGTTTTCTTCTAAACCAGTTCCAGCCAAATCCAGTAAGAGAGCAGGAATGTAAGCACTCAATTAAAGATAGATGGGAAAGAATCAAATTGGTAACAAAAGGAAAAAAGAGAGTTCTCTGCTGCATGACCAAGCCATTTCTTATCCAGACCACTTAGAGCAGGGGCGGGCAATTATTTTGGGTGGAGGGCCGCTTACTGAGTTTTGGCAAGCCATCAAGGGCCGCATGACAGGCAGCCAGGAGCAGATAAATATTACTTTTCTTAATTTTTTAGGGGCCCCACAGGGTGGATAGACTGGCCTGGATGGCCACATCCAGCCCGCAGGCCACATTTGCCCACCCCTGACTTAGAGTGAACCCTAATCTGAGACTCACCCCTGCATCTGCATGTACACACTTCTGCTCTTCTGTATCTGCCTCTAGTTATGTCTCTTCATTTCCCAAGATATGAGCATATGTATTCCTTAATTACAGCTTTTCACTCTTCAAGGATCCCCAGCCAAATGTTCTCTCTTATTTCCCACCTACCATCCACAAAAAGGCCT